CACCAGCCCCTCAGCTGCCCGCCGGCGCGCGTCCCGCAATCGCCGCCCATTGCACAGGCGGCGTGCACTAGAAACGGCGCAGAACGAGCGTGGCATGCGTCCCTGGCGCGCGCTAGGAGGCACCCCGAGGCGCATTGCAGCCAGCACTTTGCCTCCACCTGCAAAGCCGCACTCCAATTCCTTCCAGTCGCATGCAGCAGCGTGTATAGGCTGTCAACATTGCAAGGGCTGTTCAACAAGGCCAAGCCCCACAAACTAGAGAGCATCAGATGTGCGACCCTCGGTGCCACCTGAGTGCCTCTATCACGATCGCGCTCGCGCCGCCGCCGCCGTTGCAAAACGCGGCGCATCCGACGCGCGCGCCGTGGGCGCGCAGCACGCTGACGAGGCGGGGTATGATGACCGCGCTGGTGGCGCCCAGCACGTGGCCCAGCTCGACGGCGCCGCCGTGGGCGTTGACCCTGGGGGTGAGGCGTCTGGGTGAGGTGGCAGCAGCGCGGGGGGTGAGTGGGTTGATGCTGTGACGTCATCGCTCCCTAAGCGCGTGCTCAGGTGGTCTGAGGCCCCCCTCTCGGTCGCAGGTGCTCCGGAGACGCCCGCAGAGCGGCCAGCAGGATCAGCCGCACGTACGCACCGCACCCCCTGGATGCAGCCGTACTTGCAATTTCTCCCACGCTTTGCAGTGGTGGGTGCTGAAACCGCCAGTGAAACGGCTGCATTCAAAACACCCCAGTCCAGGCCCAAGATCTTTTGGTTGACCAGGTCAACCACTGAGAAGGCCTTCAAGTGGGGCATGGAAGCGGAAGTGAGGGGTTTGACAGGTGTGAGGGTCGTTAGGAGCAGTACTTGCGCAAGTAGGCGCTACGCAAATGCAGGGACGGGTGCGGCATACGCACATGCGCCGACCCCCGTCGCCGCCGTCACTATTCATCCATCAAGCAGGCCAACACACTCCTATCAGTGATGCAGGCCCGGGCGGTTGGCGCGGCGCCCCCAGTCCCCTGGAGGCCCTCCAGCTGCCCTTGCTTTTCCCCTGTCGTAAGGGCTTGCTTAGATATGAGGTTTACAAGGCTGCAATGGTAGCTAAGGAGGGTGATGCTTTTGATTTTTGGTCCCGCTGCTCCCACAGCGGGCAACACGGTCAGGGATCAGGCCGCTGTTGTCACTGGCAAGGCCGCCTCTCATTGCTCTCACACGTACACGGAAGACGTGGCCCAAGCAACCCACCTGGTTGACCTCCCAGGAATCCACCTGCTCCTGCCGCAGCCCGGCGCGCGCCAGCGCCTGTGCGGAGGGGTGCGCCAAGCCGGCCCGCAGCGCACAGCGCTCTGCCGCTGCGGCATCCTGCTGCTTCGCAGGCGGCCGGCGGGGCTGCCCGCAAGCTCGGGCAGCGGTCGGCGACACGCGAGGGCGCAGGCCTGGGGGCGGCTGTGGCAGCCAAGGCAAATTGCAGGGGTGTCGGATGCTGAGGAAGCGCCAGATGCCTTGCAGCAAATGTGCCAAATCCCGCGCTGCCTGCCTGCCCTAATCACCTTTCGTGTCGCCGCGGCGGGCGCCGTCGTGAACCACTCGGGGCTGCTCGCTGGTTTGCGTCCCCGTAGCCGCGCACCACCGCAAGCGCGGGCAGCCCGTCGCGGCGCCGGCGCGCGCTCCGCGCTGGCGACGACGAGCGCGCAGGCGCCGTCCGACAACGGCGAGGAGTTGCCGGCCGTGATCGAGCCGCCGTCCTATGGGATTCCGGCGGCATCCAATCAAAGGGGCATGCGCGGGCGAAGTGGTGCAGACGCGTGTGACGCGAAACAGGGCGCATTGTAAAGCAATGAGAGGCTTTACTGGGGGTCCCATGCCTGAGATTGCGTGTGGGCCAGCAGCAGCCGCCGCTGGCGTGCCTGCGCATATCTGCGCGGCGCGGCTGCGCTGCCGCCGCTCCGCGGGATTGCGCCGGGCGCTGGCTGAGACCGCACAGTGTCGGCAGCTCCCGGGGCCACGCGGCAGGTCCGCACCCCGCGCAGAGGCGTCCACGCACGCACGGATCTCCGCACCAATTCTTCAATCCCAACACACAGTTTTGCGCATGTTGGACGCACATCAGTACAGCGTCAAGTGCCAAGGCGGGCAACACATCCCCCGCCCACTGCGGGTCCCACCTGTGTTAAAACCGGCCGCAGCCCTCTGAGCTTCTACATGTCAGTCTTAGTCAGCGCCTCGTCACGCGTCACCACCACTTGAAAAACCAAGGGGTTACGGTTGAGGCGCGGAGTAAAGGGGGAGGGCAGGTGGAAGCACCGCGCTGGGGCAGAGGGGGCGCGCCATGCGCCGCCGCGCCGTCGCCATGCGCGGCTTGTGGGAGGCGCATGGCGGCCTGCAGCCACGGCTTCGCTGGCGGGCGCGGCGCCATGCGGCTGGCTGCGGCTGGCGGTCATGCGCGGCCGGCGGCGGCGCACTGTTCGGCGAAGCCCTACCTGCGGGCTTGGAGGCGGCGCTTCATTCGCTCGCCCACACGCAGCGTCGCCGCGCACGGTGCGACGTTGCAACTGATCGGGCAGACGCGCCGCATGACGTAAGGATTGGTGAGGCACTGGTTGCTGCTGGCGTCAGCCTTGCAGGCCTCCCGGCGGTCGCGGCGCCGGGCTGGGTGCTGAGTGCGCTGCCCACAAACACCTATCCGTCCTGTGGGGGACTTCGGATTGGTGACAATTGGGACAGGGTTGGTTC